CCCTGGTACCTGTGAATATGACCTTATATGGAAATAGAGTCTTTGTGGATTTAATTGAGTTAAATTGAGGCCATTACGGTGAGCAGAAGTTGAAGTAATGCATCTATAAGGAATGACAGCAACATCAGAAGTCGGTAAAAAAACATGGAACAGATTCTTCCCCAGAGCCTTCAAAGAGTGTCCTGTTGACACTTCAGTTTCAAACTTCTAGCCTCCATAACTGTGAGAATAAATTTATGTCATTTTAAGCTACTAGTTTGTGACAATTTATTATGGCAGCCTTAAGAAACTAATGAAGCTATTGAATGTAGTTTGTACAAGTCCTCTTACTTGGGACAATATTGATTCTTTTAGTAATTACTTAAGGCAAAATTAATATGTTGGAGAAAATTGTCTTTATTTATGACCTTACAGTCATGAGTTGGTGTTGGGCAGATGAGAGCTTGTGTCTTGATTCTAATACTAACTCTGGGCAAACTCATTAACCCCTCTGAACTTTGGTTACCTCATTTGTGAAGAGGGGACTGATTGTAGTGTTAGATTATAATGTTATGTCTGAATATTTTTGTTGTTGTTGTTGTTAGGTGTGGTTGAGTTAACTCTAACTCATAGGGACCCTGTGCACAACAGAACGAAACACTGCCCGGGCGTGTGCCATCCTCACCATCATTGCTATACTTAAGCCCATTGTTGCAGCCACTGTGTCAATCTATCTCATTAAGGGTCTTCCCATTTTTCGCTGACACTCCACTTTACAGAGCATGACATCCTTCTCCAGGGAATGATCCCTTCTGACAACAAGACCAAAGTAGGTGAGACAAAGTCTGGCCATTCTTGCTTCCAAGGAACATTCTGGCTGCGCTTCTTCCAGGACAGATTTGTTCATTCTTCTTTCAGTATTCTTCACCAACACCATAATTCAGAAGCATCAAACTCTTCTTTGGTTTTCCTTTTTCACTGTCCAGCTTTCACATGCACATGAGGCAATTAAAAATACCATGGCTTGGA